CCCTTCAACGGTGTATTAGAATAGTCGATGACTTTTTTTTTCTCTAAATTTTATTTAAAATTAGTAATGATTGCTATGAAGAAATGGCTGTTATTTTCTATCACGTTTGGATTTTTGTAAGTAGCTTTTTCTGGGAACATTTTATTCGCAGGAAGCCTAAGGGATAGTTAAAAAAATGTCCATAAAATTTTAAACTTCAGTTTTCTTCATAAAGTAACTTGTATATGCCGCCATTTTCGTCAGTTTGTTAAATGAAATTAAAATAAACCTTCAAACAGCTTAGGTTTCCAAAGATTAAGAATCAGTCAGAAAGTAACTTTATATAATTTTTTTTTAATAGAAATTAAATTAAACCTCCCGATAACTTAGATTTCCTAGGATTAAAATATTGAATAAATTGTTGTCACTGTTAAAGTATTAAATACGATAAAATAAACTATAAAGCATATGTAATTATTTCAAACCTGTAAATTTTTGGAGACTGTCTTCGAAATTAGTCAATCAAACAAACTGTTACCTTTTTCACTGTAAGCAATAATTATAAATCCCGTAAAGTATCCTTTTCACCATCCCGACAATCTTAATTCACTCGACTCTTCTTCACAACGATTGCACGGTTAAACGTGAAAAAATACAATCAACATCTCGAACACCTTAATTCACCCCTAACCGAGCCGCGAAGGGCCTCCCCCAAATTTCCCATGGCGCGGGAGACCAGCATCAAACGGAAAGTCCCTTGAAATGCGAGCCGTGACTAAAGGGCGGTCAAGAAGTCCGAGCGGAAGCACCGGGGGAAAGAGGATTTCGCGCCCCGGTTATCGTTCCGTCAGAACGCATAAGAGTTATGTACACGTATAATGTACACACGTAGCTTACCCAGCGCGAGAAAGAAAGAAAAATGAGAAAGGAAAGTGCGCACCCTACCGAGGAAACAGCCCAACAGAGCCAGCGGGGTTTCTTAGGGTGAAAAGAGTAAAAAGGTCCCCGCGCCAATACAATTGGCCTCTAAACAGAGGGTAGTTATAGCGAAACGCAATGCCCATTGGGGTGAAGACGGAGAAACGATCGCCGTCTCTCTTTCTCCCTCTCTTTGCTAACCCGTGTTGTACCCCATAAAAGCAAAGGGTGGTCACCTTCGACCGATTCAGGGTGAGACTTTTCAATGCACCGACTGAACGAGCCATAGAGATGAAGAAGAAAAAAAAATTGTTCTATATACATAGGTATAGTGCATAGGTGTATGGTAAAGGGAGCACGACGAGAGGTGCCGTTTTTTCGACGAGAACCTGACGTCTCTCCGCTTCCTTCCACGCTTTTATATTTTCATTCTCCTCTCTTTTTCCCTATGCCTACTAGCTGGTGGTATTGAATGGCCACCCTAGCTTCTCCAGTGTCGCAAGGAAATTCGAGGTTACGAATTTCGACCAGGAACTCTCTCTCTAGCTATTGTCCCGCAGCTGGCTCGTTTCGCCGTGCGAAACTGTTCCACGGATTCTGCGATTTTCATTCCGGATCACTTTAGATTCATTCGGATACCTGACACTCTGATCGATCTGCACCTCTCGATCGGCCCTCTCCTGACTCGATCGAATATCCGTCTTAGAGCGGCGACGACGGTCAGAGGGGGTCGAAATGAGTTTGGTGGAACAATAGGTGGTGCACTCGATAAAAGGCTTGGATTCTTTCTCGAACAGTTGAAAACATCGATATTGTTCGTTGGTTTCTTGAAAGAACTACTCCCTCCCCCTCTCTCGCCCTTTCTTTCCTTCTTTCCTTCGTACATTTTAACTTTATTCGTCGAGTTGAATGGTTAATTAAGAGGTTACGGTAATTTCGCTTTAATTGAAGGTGGAAATGACGGAAAGAGGTTGTTTTAATGAAATTCATAGAGTCATTTATTACTTTGATTCGTCGATAATAATAAATATATGCACATATACGATAAGAGACATTGTTCCTTTATTTCGTCGACTCTCTCCTCCCTCTCTTCGTCGGTCGCTGTCGATGATAAGAATTTCTCTCTTGTTCGGAAGATCGCAAACGAACATCTTTCTCTGTTCTTTTCTTTCTTTCGTTTTTTTTTCTTTTTTTTTTCTTCTTTAGAATGAAGTCCGCTCGTGTGAATTCCGATCGATCGTTCAACGAACATCGTTCACGTCGGATGGACGCGTTTTAACACGATCGTGTGGCTACGAACAAATTAATAACAGCTCATTCACAATAACAAAACATAATACAGATCGAAGACTTAACTATACTTACGTACACAAAGAACGCACATACACACCCATCGATCGCGTCGACAATTATTTTTCGCTCGTTCTTACAGACTCGCGTGTGTGGGTTTCTGTGATTTTCGTTATTGTTTGCACAACATTCAGACATGTGTGTATATGTGTGTGTGAGTGTATAACTATCATTACATATACATATTGCGTGTACAACGAAAATAATGTTGAAAAAAAAGAAAGATGTAAGAAAACATCGAAAGTAAGAAAGAAAACAACGAAAAATTAAATTCGTCGGACACGATCGTCCCCATAAATAACCCTATTTACGGTGCAACAAATTTTCGCGCGTGTGTGCGTGCTCTTAGACGTTAGTATTACAACAAGAAGTACACGAGGCGATTTTTTAATTTTTTTTTTCTTTTATTATTCTTTCTCTTTAGACCTACGGAGAAAACGACACGTACACGTGGATTGGTATCGCGTATTTCGGCGCGAGTACTCGCGAGAATGCGAGTATTCGCGGCGTTTCCGCGCGCTTGTTACGACGTAACGAAATCACAGTTAACGACTGGTCCATTTACATCCGGACCATGGCGACGAAAATGCTTTCGAGAAGAGCTTAGTAAAATAGCGCTGCGAACGACGGACGGGAAACGGTTCGAGAAATTCATTCTTAATCGTATACACGGTTGAAAGGAATCTTCTTCGTTTAAATATACAAATATCGTTGAGGTTCGATTATTATTATTCCTATTTCGAATTACACGAGAAATCAATTCTCCCTTGAACCGTGTCCTGTTTGTCGCTGGAAACTCTACTTTCCAGGGACAGGCGTAAAAATCATACGAGAGCACTGGCTCGCTTCGATTCCCTAAATCACGGCTAAACATCGTGGATCGTTTCTGCGCACGGCGCTCTAACCATCCACAAATTTTAACACGTTCCGTACTACGGAAATCAACAGTTAGAAATTGACAAATTATTGTTAAATTAGACGAATAAACATATCGTCAGAAGATCAACTTTCTTGAAAATTGCATTAGGCGTAGAAATGAATTCGGCGCCTTTTTTCACAAAATCTCGACGACATTACCGGCTCAAAAAGACGGTATGTTTTTGCACAGATGGAATTTGTTAGTTACCTGATAAATAAAAGAATAGTCATCGATAATAATGAAGATTATTTTGAACATTAAAATTGTGTTTGATTCTTTGTAAATGAACATAGAAGTTTGTAGGAAATGGCACCGAATTAATTTCTGTCCAATTTTTACTCCAACTTGGATGTTCGATAAAAAAAGCGCCAATTTTTCTCTTCGAGCACGAAACGCGTTAAATAAAAACAAACAAAGAAAGAGAAGAGTATCACATACGAGCCAGCTCGTCGGAGATTTCGTACGATCCCCTCGGGTTCTGTGTCCTGGACGAAATACAATAAGAATGATCGTCGTTTTCGCTAAGAACGCTGTCCCGTAGAGAAACACACACGTTTCACAATTCCGTGGGATATAACGTCTCTTGTAAGAAGAGCTTCTAAATTTCGAGCGGCGAATACCAGCGTTCTCCACAAAAGAACGAACGAAACGCTGACGTCGTCCATCGCATGTGGGCAGATAGACGCGAGCCTAGCAGAGACAAGATCCCACGAAGAAAATTTCTATTTGCTAAAAACCACGAGACAGTAAACGAGCAGTTTTAGGCTCGTTCCCTTAACCTACGCGAATCCTGTGTTATACGAACACTATTTACATTCGTAGAAACGATATATTAAAACGAACTCGTTGGAAACCGACGTTTTTGCTCGAGAGGCAACGAAACAACCCAGTTGGCCAGACAAGGACGAACAGTCGCAGAGCCCTGTTTCTAATGCAGGTGGGAGAGAGAGAGAGAGAGAGAGAGAGAGAGAGAGAGAGAGAGACAGAAAGGGGCCTGTTCGAAATCAAAGGTGTAGAACAATGGATCGTAAGGCCTGGGTTGGAAAAGAAAAAAATAGAAGGTGGCGCGAAGAAGTGATCTCGAACACGCCACGGGTGTTCAAAAATACCTCCGTGTCCACACGATTTCCAGCCTAGGGGGATCCCTTGATTTCGATGATCGAGCGACAGGTAAAAGGCACATCCGCAATTAGAAAACATTATTTGAAAACAATAGGGTGGAGCGCGGCGGGAGGGAGGGGACTGGTCTATTCACGGGCCACCGCGGTGTACAATGAAGCCCATTCAATAAAGCAAAACGAATCCGGGGCCTAAACGGCTCTTTTGTTCCAGCGCATTAATATGCTAATTCAATTATCCGCGTGGTTGCCGTTTCGACGAGCCTATTGCCTCGAGACCACGGTCAATTCGCGATCGACCTTGAAAATCTATCGCGCCTGCGCTATTATAACCATCGAACAATTAGTAATTTAGTTCAAGAATGGAAGAATTCTCACGGATGTGCCTCTCTGTCTGCCTGTCTGGCGCCTAACCGTTTCATCGACTCTCGAGCAAAACGTCGTTATAAATACGAACGTCGTCGGTGTTTTCCCGCGCGAGGGAACATACAGTCGTGCGTGCGTATAGTGTCACGTTCGGTGTAACGACGATAGACGATTTCCTTCTCTTTTTCTCTTTTTTGTCTTCCCCCTGTTAAAAACGAAACCCGCGCGGTTCTTCGATTCTTCTCGACTCGTAAACGAATCACACATCAAACGGAGATTTCGTTCCACGAATCGACACGGACGAACGTTCCCTCATCGAGCCCCTATATTAGACGGATCTACACGCGAATCTAGAATATCACGGAGACTGGTCGACGTAGTTGCTCCAGGTCCAGCGTGGACGACGTGGTCGGTGTGGGTACTTGTTGATGAGACGAGGAGATCGAAGTGGATCCTGGGCTACTTCCAGGACTACTGGTCGTCGTCACGATGCTTCCTGAGCCGGTCGTCGACGAGGATGGGAACATGAGCGGCGGATGAGGCGCGGTTGCGCCTACTGTGTGGTGTCCGGTTGGAAACAGTGGTCCAAGATGAGACGCCGTCGTTGGATACGGCTTACCTGCTGTCGTCGGTGTTGAGTAGAAGCCAGAGTAGAAGCTGCTGACCACCGCTGCAGCGGACGCTGCGTTGTTGTTGGCCGCGTCGGCCGCCGCCGCTGCTGCAGCTGCAGCCGACGACGACGATCCTGTACCACTGCTACCAGCTACCAGCTTGCTGAGGTGGACGGCGTCGAAGGCGGAGCCAAAGTAAGGCGGCAGAGGTGGATAATCGAGCGGATGAGGGTGATGATGATGATGAGACACTGGAGCCGCAGGTGCCGCGAAGTATGGCGGCAAAGGGAAACTAGGAAAACCACCTGGACTCATGGAACCTGCTTTGCCTGGCACCACGGACACTGGAACCTTTGGTTTTCTTCGTGGACGGTACTTGTAATCTGGATGCTCCTTCATGTGCATAGCACGAAGTCGTTTAGCCTCGTCGATGAACGGTCGTTTCTCTGTGTCGGATAGAAGCTTCCATTCGGCGCCCAGTCTCTTAGATATCTCCGAGTTGTGCATCTTAGGGTTGTCCAGTGCGATCTTCTTTCGTTGGATACGAGACCACACCATGAAAGCGTTCATAGGCCTCTTGATATGTTGTTCTTGAGAGTTCGGTGTTTGTTGATTCGCCATGTTCATGTCCTGGCTCACGTGGTGCACCGAGTGCAGGTCCATGCCGGAGAGGAACCCGTACCCGGGATGTTGTTGATGTGAGCTCATCATTGTCACAAGTATCGTGTGGATACTGCTGAATAGATCGAACCTGTCACCCCCCTTCGAAGTTTCTTTTATTTTTCTATTTAAAACTTCACACACTCGCGAGCGGACGTTTGTCACGCTCGATGATCGTTCTTAGTCCTCGCGTTCATCCACTGATCAACGTTCTTCTTTGTCCCGCTGGGAAACACCGGTGACGATAAAGAGAAAAGAAGGAAGGAAATATACACGAGTGACGGAAACAGGAGATCACCTAGGCGCAAGTGAGCGCGGCAAACAGTCGAACGTGCTCGAATGGAGTGCCGGTGTCGACTGAGCGTGGACTGCCCGTAGGACCGGTCCACGACCTGCTCGAGGGATCCATTCTTCCTCTCTCTCTCTCTTTCCCCCAGTTGTTGTCTCTGTCTGGCTGGATTTCGAGGGCGG